ATTAATTAATTGGAAATTTGATCTATTTACATTAAATTGGGGATCAGACCTTTATCTGAGAGTAAAAGAAGATGTTGGAAACCTGGAAGACAGATTGAATAAGTGTTAGGTCGTCATGTCCTCATATGGTCTGAATAAATGGTAGTGTGTGTGTGTGTGTGTGTGTCACAATGTCCTCATATTGTACAGACCGAGATACANGTCCTGTCCTGTCTGTAATCTGGACGGTCAGAGCAGCTCTAACAGGAGGTGAAGCAGCTCAGAGTTGTGCGTGGCTGTGTGACTGACTGTGTGTTTGTGTTTATGTGTGTGTGTGTGTGTGTGTGTGTGTGTGTGTGTGTGTTGTGCAGGAGACTGAACTCTCTCTGCAGCGTTTGGACTCTGGACTGAAGGACCTGATGAGCATGAAGACGGACCTGTCCCAGTACGTGGGCTCCGGTGACTCGGCCCTGCTGGAGCAGCAGCTGGAGCAGCTCCACTGCCAGTGGGAGGAGCTGTGTGAGAAGGTGAGCTGAGGAGGAGGAGGAGGTCCAGGTGAGGAAGGAGGTGAAGATGTAACAGGTGGACAGAGAAGCTCTCACTGATTGTTCTGTTCTTAAACGTGTCTGAACAGGTTCCTCTTCAGGTTCTTCAGGTTCTTCAGGTCAGGAGCTTCTCCTCCTGTAAGAACATGAAGAACCTGCAGCTCAGATTAAACAGTTTGATCACAGTTAGAGCGTCAGCTTCCACCTGCTCTGGAGTTAATGTGGTGTTAGCAGCAGAAATGAGTGCAGTTTCACTTCAGCCTCCTGAAAACACTGATTATCTCCACAGAAAGATGTTTTCAGTCAGCAGACATGATGTGGAACTTAAATCCTGCAGTTTTCTGCACTGGAAGCTAATTAAAGTGAACTCATGAGTCTGAGCCGTCAGCTAACAGGGTGCAGAGGAGCAGATGGCCCGGCTGGCCCGGCTGGCCCGAGGAGGTCCGGGGGAGCTGCTCTATTGTTCCTGAGGCGACACAAAGTCCTCGGAGGACAAACGCCCCTCACAATACCTCCACATTCTTCAGCGTCCACAGAGACGTGTGGTTAGAGCCTCAGCTCATTTTAATAAATACCACAGAGCAGAAAGTAGAGCAGCTCAAACTGTGGACTTGTTAAAGCTCTAAAACCTCTAAAAGATCAACCTGACCCCCCTCAGTTTATAACAGGGGGGCTTTCATGGCGTTAAGCTGTCATTAACTAWATGGACCTGGTTAATTTGAACAGATTCCAGGAGGGGGGGGGTCTCAAATAACCTGACTGATGATTTTAATGAGGATTAAAAATCTGCACTGCTGCAGGATTAACATAAAATACTGTCAGCCTGGTTTTTTATAATCTCAGGGATCCTGCAGATCCTTTAAAAGTCTTAAAAGGCATTGAATTCATCAAACCAAAAATAAGGCCTTAATTAGCCTTAAAATGTCAAAAATCAACCTTTCAGAAGTTTTAAAAATGTGAACACATTGTAATTAGGATGATTTTTTGTCTCAAATGTTAAAATATTTGGTGAAATTTATTTATTTTGAAAAAGAATTGACTGAATGAGTTTTATTTTTCATTTGTGTTTATTGTGAAGTTGGTCTTAAATTTATTTTCACGTGGCATTAAAGCGGTTCTTAAAAAGTTTTAAATTGAACTKGCCTTAAGCTGCAGGAACCCTGGACCACTCTACTTCTTTTGTGTTTTAACTTTTTATCATTTAAGTGATGTTTGCTATGGCAATTTTAACTTTTACACTTATGGAAATGTTTAACTTTAAAAAAACAGAAATATATTGAGATTAGTTTAGAAGATGACCGTTTTGTAAAAGAATGTTGCACCAAAAACACTTTAATGCACAATTTAAGTCCAGTTCACACAGGGAGTTCAAAAACACTTTCTTTGGAGTTAAAGTTTGGTGACAGCATTTTTAATGTGTTTTTGGAAAGATACTAATTCTAAATTGTGGAAAAGGTCAGTTTCACGTCACTGAGCTGAAGAGTTGTTGAGATATTTGCATGTTCAGTAACAGGAAGTGATGTCATAGGGGAATATAAACAGCATTGCTACAACACATCCTGCAGAGAAGATTCTGATGCTTCTGTTGATTATTTTGAGTTTATTAATTATTTAAACTTTGATTTTTCTTCATCTCTCTGATAACATAAACAAAGATCAGGAAGTTCTTTGATGTCACTTCCTGTTTCACTTTGGCTGAGCCAAATTCAAAATAAAATCTGCAGTTATACAACAAAAAGGTTAAAATCATGTTTATTATGTCATGTTTTTCTTGAATACAAAGTAGTTTTCTTTGACTTTCTGTATCTGAAGTATATTTGTGTCGTAGACACTAAGTGCTCTCCTTAAACAGTTGGTATAAAACCCACCTGTCGATGGTTAAACTGGTCTTTCCTTCATGTAACGAGCAGACAGTGGTGACTGCAGACACTGAATCTTATGCTCCTCAGGTGTCGTTGCGCAGGCAGGAGATAGCGGACCGCCTCAACGCGTGGACCATCTTCAATGAAAAGAACACAGAGTTCTGTGATTGGCTGACTCAGATGGAGCAGAAGGTGTGTCAGAGCAGAGACCTGAGCATCGAGGAAATGGTGGAGAAGCTGAAGAAGGTACAGAACCTGATCTCTGTAGTGTTTTTGAGACAGGCTGTAAATATGATCCATAATTAATTTTCTTTTTAGCTTTTATACTTTTCAAAGTATTAAACACAAAAATAATATTTAGAGATGAAAAGCATTGTTCTCTTTGAAATCTGCCTGCAGTAAACTTGTTTTAGTTTTTAGCTTGGGTTCTGCTATTCTAGCTTTTAGCTCATCTTAGCCTTCAATTGAACCTCTTTGCTAATTTTAGGTTTTAGCCAAAGCTTTGCTCTTTAGTTTGACTTTTGTTTTGTATAACATTTATCCAGCCTTTACTGCTTTGATTTCTGTAAGAATTTCACAGTTTTCAGCTAGTATTTCACTACTTTTAGCTTGTAGCTAGACCTACAGTTTTTAGTTAGCATTTAGCTTTAGGCCTTTAGCTGGTGTGTTCCTCCTTAGTTTTTAGTGTTGTTCTGCTTTTAGCTAACTGTTTCAGACTCTTCATCATGCACCAGTCAACATTTACACTGTGTTTAGACTGTAACACAAAGTGAATCTGACTGATTCAACATGTTTCTGACTCAGATTAGGATTAACCCTAACTGTTGAATCAGACAGGATTTAAATCTGTACAGAATTCAGACGCCTCACTCTGGCTGTGAAACCGTTTCAGTAACTTTGGATGATATTCAACAGGATAATAACTGGTTTGAATGTTCCTGCAGTTTTATTCAGGAAGGTAAATGACATGAGAATATTACAGGGACCAGAATCTGAGTTATAATCATGACGTTAGCTTAAAGTGGCACTCCATGGTGAGAATAGTGCAGGAAAAAGGTGAATGAAAGGAACTGTTACTCTTTAAAGAAGACATATTTATAAGTTAACTCAAACCTTTAAGACTCTAATAAACTGTTCAGAACATACATTAATATGATAATAAAAAAAAAACTTTGAGCAGATCTCCACATCCTTTGTGTTTTTCCTTATGAAGCGGGGTTCTTTCTCTGGTGTTTTCCAGGACTGCATGGAGGACATCAACCTGTTCAGTGAAAACAAGAGTCACCTGAAGCAGCTGGGCGAGCAGCTGCTGTCAGCCAGCGACCAGGCCAAGCAGAGCCAGGTCCACGGCTCACTGCAGGAGGTCAATGAGCGATGGCACAACCTCTTCCACCACATCGAAGCCCGGTGAGCTGCTTGTATCAATCAAGCCCTTTACAGAGTAGTGTTTACCTCACTGAGGAGTGTGTTTACCTCACTAACAGAGGAGTGTGTTTACCTNCCTTTTATACTTCAGATAAACTTTAAACTGTCATCGATTATAAATTCTCTTATTTGACATGTTTCGTCCATGTGACATCTTGGAGAAGCATGCATATCAATTGATTCATTGGAAATCTGATCTATTTACATTAAAGTTGGGATCAGACCTTTATTTGAGAGTAAAAGAAGATGTTGGAATTCTGGAAGACACATTGAATAAGTGTAAGGTCGTCATGTCCTCATATGGTCTAAATAAATGGTAGCGTGTGTGTGTGTCAGAATGTCCTCATATTGCACAGACCGAGATACTTTGCCGTATTAAGTCTTTCTAGAAGGTTTAATACTGTATAATGAGCCTTAACCCTTGTTAAACTAGGAAGATGAATAGTTTATGACCGAACTTATTTGTGTGTTTTGTTGTAGAAACCAGGTGTAAAGTTCTCGACTCCATCTTCAGAGGAGCCAGAAATGAGCGAGACGTCCACTTCATCCATCCAAAAGGTTATTACACATTTCTAATCCCAATTACAAACAACTAAATGTCTCTGTTGTGCAGGGTGATTAATTAAATTAACTTTTTATAAATCAGTTTGGGTAAAAGTTTAGAAATGTCACAATGTCTATGACTGGTTTTAGAAAACTTCGGCAAATGTACTGTGGTTTCACCAATTCAGAGGCGTAACGCACCTTTTATACTTCAGATAAACAGTCATTATCGATTATAACTTCTCTTATTTGACATGTTTTGTCCATGTGACCTCCTTGGAGAAGCATAAATATCAATTAATTAATTGGCAATCTGATCTATTTACAGTAAAGTGGGGATCAGACCTTTATTTGAGAGTAAAAGAAGAAGTTGGAAGCCTGGAAGACAGATTGAAGAAGTGTTAGGTCGTCATGTCCTCATATGGTCTAAATAAATGGTTGTGTATGTGTGTGTCAAAATGTCCTCATATTGCACAGACCGAGATACTTTGCTGTATTAAATCTTTCTAGAAGGTTTAATATAATAAGCCTTGACCCTTATTAAACTAGGAAGATGAATAGTTTATGATTGAACATTATTTGTGTGTTTTGTTGTAGAAACCAGGTGTAAAGGTCTTGACTCCATCTACAGAGGAGCCAGAAATGAGTSGGACATCCACTTCATCCATCCAAAAGGTTATTACACATTTCTATTTCCAATTAGAAACAACTAAATGTCTCTGTTGTGTCCTGTGCTTAAGTAAAATACCCTTTTATAAATCAGTTTGGGTAAAAGTTTGGAAATGTCACAATTTCTGTGACTGGTTTCAGAAAACTTTGGCAAATGTACTTTGGTTTCACAAATTCAGAGGCGTAACAAGCCTTTTATACTTCAGATTAACTTTAAACTGTCATTATCAATTATAACTTCTCTTATTTGACATGTTTCCTCTGTGTGACCTGGAGAAGCATGTATATCAATTAATTAATTG